TTTATTAAAAAATTAAATAACGAACGGGCGACGAAGCGCTAGTGGCCGTCCACTATTTGATAGTCTTGGACTTACTTACTTTGATACTTTGATGGTCCATCTTCGCTGATGTTCTCAGCGTGGACCACACGTTCTCCAGGCGGCTCGGTCTTGCGCGACGGTCATCCAGTGGCGGCCTGGCTGACTGATGTTCTTGCGGAAGTAGTCCGTCCATCTGGTCGGTGGGCGCCCGAGTGGGCGCTTGATGTTTCTCGGAATCCAGTGTGTTAATCTCGTGGACCAGCGGTCGTCTTGTCTGCGGATGACGTGGCCGCCCCAGCGATGTTTCCCGCGTTGTATGTGCTCTTCTAGATCCCGGATTTGGGATAGTTGACGGAGGTCTGTGCTCCTCTGTTCTTTTTTCCACTGCTCGAAGCGAGTGGTGCCGATGAGAGCACGTTCCAGTGCGCGGTAGGAAGTTCGTAGGGCGGTTGCATTTTTTTCTTCGTGTCAGGCCAAACTTCGGTACCGTAGGAGATGGCAGGGATTATCGACGCTTCGAAGATGTGAGCTCGCAGTTTCGGGTCTTTCAGCTGACTGGTGACTTCTTTGATGGAGTTGAAGGCGGCCCATCCAGCGCGTTTGCGTCTGCCGATCTCTGCTTGCAGGTCGTTCACCATGTTTACTTCCCGGCCAAGGTAGATGTAGGATGTGACCTCCTGAAGGTCGCGGCCCTCAAGGGTGACTTTGCCTTGGTCGCAGAAGCGGTTCTTCATCCACTGCGTCTTCTTGACGTTCATCTTAAGGCCGATCTTCTTGCCGACTTCGTCCAGATCGTTCAGCATGGAGGACAGTTCGGTGGTGGAGCTTGAGAAGAGTACGATGTCGTCGGCGAAGCGGAGGTTTGTGAGGACCTTGCCGTCGATGTTGATGCCTCTGATGTCTGTACTGTCTTCCCAGTCGTGCTCTTCGTCCCATCCAAGTTGGCGCATCGCGTCTTCTAGTGCCGTGGAGAACAACTTGGGGGAGATGGTATCTCCCTGGCGAACACCTTTCCTGATGGGGATCGAAAGCTTCTTGTCGAACAGCTGGATGGTCGTGGACGTTCCCTCGTTGCTGTTGGCGATCAGCTCGACGTACTTCGTGGCGACTCCGGCGGAGGCAAGAGCATTCAAGACGGCGTTGATCTCCACGCTGTCGAAGGCCTTGTAGTAGTCGACGAAGGCCAACGCAAGTGGCATCTGGTGCTCCCGGTGCCGTTCCACCACCTGGGTCAAGGCGTGGATGTGGTCGAGGCAAGAGTAGTTGCGTCGGAAGCCAGCCTGCGAGGGCGGTTGGAAGTTGTCGAGTTGCTTCTCTAGTCTGTTGACGATGACCTTGGTGAACAACTTGTAGACGACCGATAAGAGGGAGATCGGTCTGAAGTTGTTCAGGTCGGTGAGGTCGCCCTTCTTCGGAATGAGGATCGTCTTGGATGTTTTCCATTGTTCAGGAATAGAGGCTTCGCTCAGGTACTTGGAGAAGTGCCGGGCAAGTAGTCGGTACAGCGAGTCTCCTCCAGCCTTCAGCAGTTCGGATGAGATGTTGTCGGGTCCTGCGGCCGTTCCGACCTTCAGCTTCCTGATGGCGTACTTGACTTCTTCGGGAAGGATCGGGGGTTCATCTTCTGGTGGCGGCGTTGGTGTTCTGGGGACGGGAACGTCGCTTCGAAAGAGTTTCGTGTAGAAGTCGACCGTCAGGCGCTCCATCTCGTTCCTTGACGTCTTCAGCTGGCCGTTCTCGTCCTTCAGTGCTGTCATCACCGTTCGCTCGTCGACGAGCTCGAACTTCTTCTTCTTGAGGCTTTGACGTTTCTCAGCTGTCTGAAGAAGTGCACTCCTGCGTCGGTTGGCTAGAGACTCTTGCACGGCCATTCTGCAGGCTTTGTCGATCGTCAGACGTTCTAGGTGCGTGGCCTGCGGGTCTCGTTTGACTTCTCCTCTTCTTCGCAGCAGGTCTTTCGCTCGTTGGTCGAGTCGCGGCGGTAGAGACGAGGTTGGTCGAGCTGCAGGTTCTGCACATCTGATGAGGCCATCGCAGAGGGATTCGTAGTCGGCTGTCGGGTCGTCGAGAAGCTGCCAGTCGTGCTCCGAGATCTTCTCCTCCAACGTGGTGATGTCGTAGGTTGGTCTTCTCGGTCTCGATGGCTGGTGGTAGTCTTTCTTCAGGAACTTCTGGTTCAGACGGACCTTGGCGCGAACGAGTCGATGGTCGGATCCAACGTCGAAACTGGGTAGTACGGCAACGTCGAGGAGAGACCATTTCCGGTTGGCCAGAATGTGGTCGATCTCGTTGGTGGTGTCTCCGTTGGGCGATTTCCAGGTCCAGCGTCTCCGATCAGGCTTCTCGAAGAGAGAATTGCCGTGGTAGAGCCTTCTGGAGTCGAGAAGTTCGGCTAGGCGTTCTCCGTTGTCGTTCCGAATTCCGAGTCCGTGCTTCCCGTGACGAATCGAGGGAGTGGCGCACTTGCCCATCTTCGCGTTGAAGTCACCCAGAACGAAGATGTAGTACGCCTTCTCTCGTTGGATCGTTTCCTCGAGCTTCCGGTAGAAATCGTCAAGTTCCTTTTTCCTTCTCTTCCCTTTTTAGCCTTAGATTCGGCTTCTGGTGAGGTCGGCGAGTAGACGTTGATGATGGTAAGTCTTCCTCGTTTTCCTAGGTTGAGTCGGAGGATGCCGAGGCGGGCGTTGACGATTTCGTGCGAGTCGACGAGGTGTTGGACCGAGCGATTGACGAGGAAACCGACGCCGCCGACGTTCTTCCCAGGGACTTTGTGGCCGAGGATGAGAAGTTCACCGTTTGGCCAAGTCTTACAGCTGGTGTCTTGAGATTTTGTTTCCTGGAGCGCCACTATGTCGATGAGTGCGTTTCGGTTTGCCGCGAGCAATTGCTCTTTTGCTGCATCGGAAGCGAGCGAGCGGCAGTTGAGGGTTCCGAAACGTAGACAGTCACCGTGGCGCGTCCGTAGTCCGTTTCTATGGTATCCTGTTGCTCCGAGATTTGATCGCCCCTCGTCGGCAGAGGCAGCCCCCGATACCGGAGAGGCGCGTGACCGACGGGCGGAGGACTGGGGCCGTCTTGTTGAACGTGTTTTAGCTTTTTTGTGGTCTGGTTATCCTCGTTGCCTTGCCAGGGCTAGGAGGACCGCCCATTCTATTAGCATAAAGCAAGGCGAACTGCGTGACCGGTGTACCGTTAGCCGCCATTTATGACGTTGCCGCCATAAATGGTCGTTGATCCCCATCACCGCGGAGAGGTGGTACATGAAGGAGGACACAAAACAAAAATGCTTAGTTAGAGCAGTACACAATTTAAAAAAAAACTTTTGAACACCTTTTTTCCCCTGAAGAGACTGAGATTGAGCTCCTTAAAAGACTTCTGCAAAATTCCTCAGGATGGAGCGCACTTTCATTTTCAACAGATTTTTCTTTTTATTTTTATTTCTGTTACACCCAGTTTTACGGACGAGGTCGCAGCGAGAGAAACGCTATATCGCGGGGGAGCCGCGAGCTATATCGCTCGCCTCTCGGCGCAAGGTCGCTCACATCTCGCTGCTATGTCGCTCTTTCAAAAAAATTTTTTTAGCTCGATTGGGCTTTTTTTCTTGATTTGCTTTCTATGCTTCATACTTTTTATTGGGTTGTACATGATAACATATCGGTCTTTATCAACCTTCTTTACTTTTTTTATTTAATATAAACAATATATTTAAATGAAAAACTTGAGAGCATTAAAGAAATTTTTCCAAATAATTGATGATACATTTTCGAATTCGAAGTAAACGGAAAGTATGTACAAATCTGAAGAAGATTGATTTGAGGCGAAAGAGTGAAGCTTCAAGTAAGAATAAAAAAAGGACAATATGAGGAAAAAAACATGTGTATCGTTTATTTTTTTCATAGGAAAAAATGTGACTAGAAAAAGAGTAGGTTCAATAAAAAAACAGAAAAAAAGTAAAACCGATTGTAAGCTCGTAGATGATTTTTAAAAGTTCAAATTAGAAAAAAAAATAAAGGAGGGAGGCTCGAAATGAAAATGAAAGAAGTTTTGAAAAAGAAAATTAATTTAAACAATCAGATTGGCCCTAAGTTCCCTTAAAAATGTTACTGTAAGCTTTGACTCGATAGTTTTCGGCATATCCTTCATTTGCTGCGTCAAGAACTTTTCTAAATGATAAAATCGGTTAAAAAAAGAGAAATACTGAAAAAAGTCCAACCTTGAATAAGAGAATAACTCACAGGAGTGACTGTATCAAGACAGCAGTACGTGCTTTCTCGAAATCATGCCTCATTTCTTTTTTTCCCTTACCCATCGACGCCAAAGTGCAAATCATATCTTCAAGTAAAAAAATGGATATACTGTTTCAAAAAAATAGTTTACCAAGAATCTTATTGATTGTATCCAAAAAGCAAAAACTTCAGTGCCATCTCCCACGGATCTTTTTTTGACTTTTTATTGATCGAAAAAGTTAGATGCCATTTTGAAGTACTAATAACCTGAAATTCTTGGTTAAAACATGAAAAAATGCGAAAAAAAGAAATTTCAAATTCAAGAAAGGTGTGCAGTTCCGTTAAAAATATATACAAAAAAAGCTTTTTATCACAACTTTCTTTAATGGGATTTCACCCTTTTGAAAACTTTCTGGAAATATGATGACTGTTGATTGTAACACCGTGGTGAAAACTTAGAAACACAGCTGAAAAAGTTTCAGAAAGATTGAGCTCTATACGAGGAAGTTGTGAGCGAAAAAAATATTTTTTTCCTTTTTCTGACGGTACTGTATGAGCGTTACATTAGTTGTAAAATTAACATTTTAGAAATATTAAGTGAAAAAATAGACATAGAAAAAATCAGAGAGAATATAACACACGAAAAAAATAAAACAATTCAAGTAAAATTTTGATGGCACGTAAATAGTGACCAATCAATAATCCGCGACCTCGCGCCGATATCGCGCCGGGAGTTTGCTAGAGCTGAGCGAGATGGCAGCGAGATATGTCGCTGCTATGTCGCGCCACTCTCGCTGCGATATAGTCCACGAAACTGGGTGATATCTTAATTAATTCAATATTGAATTAATTGCAATACAATTTAATTATTGTCGCATTCAAAGCTGATTATAGACGCGCGCGCGCGGATACACTAAGAATAACTGACGAGATAAACGCGAGGTCGGTGGCGGTACATTGACGAACTCGCAAAAATGTCGCTTTTTTCTATGCGCGATCTCGCATTTATCTCGGCGCGACCTCGCATTTATCTTGCATTTCGGAAATTTTCTAATTGCCAGAGAAATGCGAGCTCGCGCCCAAAAAAAAATGCGAGACCGGCGCGAGAAAAAAAGCGAGATGTTTGCGAGCTTGTCAATGTACCGCCAGTGTCTCGCGTTTATCTCGGCAGTTATTCTTAGTGTAATTAGGTTCAATGGTTTTTCTCCAGGCCTGCTAAGTATTCTTAAGTGAATTTCTAATTCGTCACCTTTCCTCGAATTTCTCAAATTTTCAACGCGGCATATCTCTCTTTTTAAGTAAATGTTTTCAATACCCAAACGAGATTATTTAATTCAAAGAAACATTGCGAACGTAAAAATTTTTGAAGCTTTTTCTTAGGCGACGTCATTGTTTTATATGATGTCTGAAAATTTCCTCAACTTTCAAATTTCCAGCATATAGCCTGTGCCTACATTCCATGCCCATCTCGTTTACCACGTTTTGTCGTCATTTACTCCCATCCAAACGGCAGCGACATCTCGGACCATCTCATCGGCGTGCCTTCTCTCCTTGACTTCGCACGTTTCTACAAGTGCGACGTCTACACTTACGACTATTCTGGCTATGGAATCAGCTCAGGTTGCCCCGGCGAGCGGCAAATGTATGCAGACATCGACGCCGTCTACGAAGTTCTGATCCGAATATTTATCGAGTAATCAATATTTTTCCAGTACGTCGTGAACGAAAAAAAAGTAAAACCTTCGGAATTGGTACTTCTTGGATATTCAATTGGATCGGCGGCGGCTATTGATCTTGCCGTACGCGTGGAGCCTAAACCAGCCGGTTTTCCTTTTTTTTCGATAAAAATAATTTTCATTTGCTCAGGAATAATTTTGCAAGCGCCTCCGACATCCATCTTGAGAGTCCTCACCTGGGGCCGAATGTGCTTCGGAAACACTCACGAGAGGGAAAGTTGTTGCGCCGACCGTTTCCGCACTTTGGACAAAGTTTCTTTCTTGTTTTTAATACTCTTTGAATTTTTACTACGATATATAGTATCAAATCAGACCAAAAAAGTTGAAAAATTTTCAAAAAAGCGTTTAATGTAACTGTTTTCAAAAAATACTTTCATTCTGCTCATTTTTCTGTTTCAAATAGAGTGCGGAGCTTCTGAGATAGGAAAAAAAGGAAGTTAGAACCTGGTAAAAAACCTCTATTTTTCTCTTGAAAATTTAAAATCATGTTTATTTCATGTTAATATGCGCTTTGATTTAAAGTTGTAGAAATTTTATCTTTTTGCGATGTTGTGAAATTATTTGTTAGTGAGTCAATGTCAAACGAACTCTTATTTTTTTCCTCACCTTTGTTTTGAAAGTTATTTTTTTATTATTATTTTCAGATCGGCTCCATCAAAATACCGGTTTTGTTAATTCACGGCACAAACGATCAAATTGTCCCGAAAGAACATAGCGAGGCCATTTGTCAGCAAATGATTACGCGGGTCCGTTTTTTTACTGTAAAAATCATAGAGGGGCCTATGATTTTTTAATTTTTTTAAAAATCATAAACCATGTAAATCCTTGAAAAACATTTTAGGTGGCTCCAGAATGGGTTCCAGCAGCATCCCACGACAACTTGGAAAACTGCAAAGAAGTATGGCTTCGGATACGTCAGTTTGTAAAAAAGTTGGTATCTTGTCCTAATCCTTTTTTTCTTCTTACAAAAGTGTTCTCCGAAAAAAGTTCCGACGAGATATTCGTCATTCTGAAAGTTTTTCAAGAAGCTTATCAAAGAAATAATCCGCAGATTCTTTTACCTTATGACCTTTGCTTCAAATTGAAAAAATCACATTTTCAAAATAGTTTTTTTTTTTTTCAAAATTCTTTCCTAAGTTTGTTTGACACCACTTTTTTCTACATTTTATTTATTTTTACCTGTGCAGGTCGGGTTGCCCCGTCATAATTGTCTTCTGAGTCTTTGAGACACCTACCCTCGGTTTTGATGCTCCTTTCACTTGATTACGGCAAGCATGTGCAGATGAAAATCGCATTAAAATTTATTTCTTTTTCTCGCTCAAATATTGTCACAGCTGCTTGAAGTGTATTTCTAATAGTCCCTGCGTTTGAGGTCGGATTTAGATTAGAACCCGAGCGGTGCACACTTGATTTTCCGAAAATTCTGCTCTTTGCGTTTGTGAAGATTAATGAATATTCGGAAAGGCACAAACTTCAATAATTTTTTTTGTCTAAAAAAATCTTCGAAATTGTCTTGCCTTAAGTTACTGAATAATCTCTCTTTGGTCTGAAAACCAAGAAGAACTGTACGAGAGAGTGCCGCGAATTCCTGCACTACAGTCAGGAGTAATAATTCACTCTCACTCAATGAAATGATCAATTTCAAATCTTTTTGTTAATAAATAACGCATTACCTGCAACTTATTATTGCAGCGAACTCGGATTATCCAACACAAAGGGCAAAGCCAAATGAGGCTTTGTGTTTTGTAGCCTGCTCCAGACGCTTCTTCGTCTTTTTTTTTCTCACTTTGTTCTCTTCTATTATTAACATATCATTTGATAAAGTACTCCTTGATTTTTTTTTCACTTTTGATCCTTCTAAAGGTGAGTGCAGGTATAGCTTACTTCGGAAACTGTGAATTAAAGTTTTAAAAAAATTTTTATGTTCTTTTCCGTAGTTTTATGTTGACTTTCTTTCATAGTCCTTTCGAAAAACTTTCATCGAAAATATGTATGACATTTGAGCATCATCGAACGTTGGTTTCCTGACAAGGGAAGTGTGTTAGGTGAAAATCACGAATGTGGTCCCTACTTCTGTGGTAAGTAGTCCTAGATTATGAGTACTCGAAAATAAAAAGGAATATCAGCTAAGCGCCATAGGTTACTGAGAATTACACTGTCGAAGATGAACGGAAAAGGCTCAAAAACTGATTTTCTTCGGGTTTTCGTTTTTTGAACAACTTCTGTGAAATTCTGTATTATAAGATACACGAGAAAAAACTTTTTTCTACATAAAACCCTAATAAACTTTGTTTTCGAGCTTTACCTGTACAGTTTTGACGCGCTATTTCTCAGTACCCCATGACGCTTAGCAGATTATTTTTATCGTTTTTGAGTATTCATATCTGGAAGAAGTTTGGACCAGATCTGCGATGTTCACCTTGCACACTTCCCTCGTGAGCATGTCTGTGAGAATAACCATTTCCAAAACGCTTATTTAAAAACGGGTTTACTTCAATTACTTCTTTATTTACTTCATTCGGATACATGTTATGATAGATAATTCGTAGATGTATGTGGATTTGTTTTTTTAAGAAAGAAACTATTTTGCGATCTTTTGTTTTTCGTGTAATATAACTAATTTCATTTTTAATCGTATTGGTCAAACTAGAATTTATAAAAAAAATTTGCGAAGGAGAGATAAATTTGTTGTGGGAAAAGACGAAGACGGACGATGTCGCGCCCTTTCTGACAGAAGACGTCAACGTCGACGCTCCAGAACGGCGTCTGCTCTTTTTCTTTTTTTTTTCTGGTTGGAGGCAGCTTTCGCGTGAGAAAGAGGCGGAGCCGGATATACTGCGGCTCATTTTCTGTCTCTTCCTTGCTCTTTGTTTTGTGTTTCTTTTCAGTTTGGAGACTATTTCCTATTGCTTTTTCTAGTCAATTTTTTTTTGTTTTCGTCGCTTTTTACAGAGACGAAAAAGTATCTGAAACTGGATCATTTTCGAGAGAAGTTAAATCAAGACGAAACGTAGTTAGAGAAGTGGGAATCCAATACTGGAAAGGCAATTACGAAGCCTTTCTCATTTTCGTCTCCTAGTATGTTTTTAGTTGTTTTCTTTTCTTCAAAAGTTCTAGGAATAGATCTGATAGGGGCATCATGGAATTTATCATCTATTTCGAACTTGCTAGTCTCGGTTTTTCTTCTTTTTGATGTATAGTAAAGGAGGATCGTTCAATTCCAGAAAAAAACTCAATGTTCATATTTTATATTCTCAAAAGCAGTTACAAGGTTTCAATATGGTTTTCTTTCTCTTTCCTATTAATTTACAGAAGAAAAAGGCTCTAATTCATTGAGTTTGACGTTTATGAATAAAATGGAGTAGTCCCTGGATTTTTCTTCAAAAGAAGTTCGTTCTTTTCGGAGCATCGAATGAAGCATCAAGGGTTTTCTGACGACTTTTTCCCGCTCCCCAAGGAAATCGCGTTGCGAATAAAAGGCCAACTCTTCACGGGAAACGGAAAAGCCTGTTATATTTATTCAATGATTCGAGTAATTCAAATAACTTCCGCTGTATCTTTTGCTCTGCCGTCCCCAAATTTCTTGCAGTGGATATTTTGCCTGAATGTATATTTTCAATTCAATCAACATGATGCTTTTCTTTTGGGAAAAAAACTGAATAACATAAATTCAATCCAAAACTCTAAGTTGAGAAAGAAACGAAAAAGTCTTTGAGGTCCGTCGTGTTCAAAATATTCTTTCGATGTTTGTGTAATGGAAGAAGTCACTTAAAAGTACTTGGAAGCACTCTAGACGAACTGTGATCCTATTTCCTCGCGTCTAGCAAAATCAAACAGAGTTTGCGGTATTCAAAATGAAATTAGCTGAAAAATTCGGTTTGGCTGAGGTCCAAGTCCAAATCGAATACGTCGGCTCTTCTTCTTTCAGCGTTTTCTTTTAGCCGCAGTGTTGCGAGGTCGCCAATAATTTGTCCTGCTTTTCCTTTTTTCGACTTCTATTCGTTCATCTTTGACCCTCGCTCTTTGCTTGTTTTTGCCGCTGCCACATTTAAACAAAAGAATATGCTTCGAAAATGTAAACGAACTGGAAAGAAGGAAGGTGAAAAATGGTTGTTTGATGAGTTTTTGCAGAACGCGTTTAATGATCATTCAAATTTTAGGTCTTGCTCGAAAATTTTTCTGGGTACTTCTCTTTGAAAAATCTCAAAATAGGTTTTTTTCAATAATTCTGTGTGATTTGAAAATGAGCTGATATTTGCAAGTATGGACATTGAATTATTCATGAATATAGAAAAAATAATCCGTTGAATCGATAGTTTACTCACAAGAGCTCTGAAGGGTGTTCAAAGGCGTTTTGAAGAGTCTCGAAACTTTTTTCTCGGTAACGTTTCTTGTTGTTAATACGTACCACATGAATCGAATAAATTTCTTCTCTTTTTCCCAAGCAACTCATTAGGCGAGATCGGAAAAAAAGGATGAGCGTTTCTTTTTTCATTCATTTCCTATTATTAGTTGCCTCACACTTTTTTTTTCATAGGAAGTGTCGTTGTTCAAACCAATCATCATTTTGTAGTGCGTTTTTTTCTGCTGTTGGAAGGAAAAGTAATTTCGCATCTTTTCTTATTCTGATGAACCAACTTGGGCGTTCTATTGATTTTGCTGGAGCTGATTAGCAATTCTTCAGGTTTCTTTGCCCCTTTGGGCCAGAACCTCGTCGGGGGTCGTCTCGTGTGAATGCAGCCGCAGGATTTCGTCAAAACTGCTCGCAAGGTCTTTATTTTGACGCAGGAGTAGCACATCGAAATCTATGTCTATTTTTAGCCAATTTCGTTCCTAAGTCGTTATCTTGCTCGCTTGGACCTTTATTTAGAGTTCTCTAGATTCGATAAAGCTCCGAAAACATCTATCTGATCAGCAAATTTTTGTTAATTGTAAAACCCAATTTGTGAACGTTTCTTGCAAAGAAAAATTCCATTTTTGAGGCGTTATTGTCACACTCGGTTTCAATCGATAACTACACGACTCAAGACTGCGAGATCGCCTACCATGCAACTACAAACCCTCTCATGCAGGTCTCAGCTGGTTTTTTTGGACATATCGCAACCAGTTTTGATTTAGTTGGTTAATTGGGGAGCTGAACAATTTTGTCGCCCGCAGATAGTTTTGGTCGTATTTCGAAAACACAGCTTTTCTATACTTTTAACACATTTAAAAGAAAAGAGTGTGAGAAATGTCTGAAGCAGGTCCGAAAAGAGTAAGATCCTCTTTTCGCTTTTAACTGCTCTAAACATAAATTTAAGTCATCGGTTTTCTGTAAAGAATCCTGCTTGCAGACCATTCGATTCGTGCACGTCTTCTTTTGCGTGGTGGGCGCGACGGCGTCAGCGCTGTTCATCTTCGTCCTGCTGTCTTCTTCTTCCCGTCACATGCACGTCAACCTCAGAATCTCCTTGGCGTCGCTTTCTTTCGCCGCTTGCATCGCTTGCATTCAGCTTCTGCTCATCGCCGTCTACCAGTTTGTTCTTTTTCCTATTTCATGATTGATTGACTGTTAACCGCTATTTTACTCCATCATATCATTCTGATCGTACCTCTTCCAGTCTTGTGAATACCTTGGCCGACCAGAATCCATGCGACTCTATTTATGAGGCTCAACGGTGCGCTATTCTTAGGTGAGCTTCTGTGAAAAAAAAATTGACGCATAATTACACACTTCTTACTAATCAGATTCCCCGTGGTGCTGTCGATATATGCGACATTGTGCGGGATTATCGTGCTAGCCATCGAAAGGACCATCGCCACTCTCAAGTACAGAACGTACGAGGCGAAAGGCTCTCGCGTGGTCGCCGCCTCGTTGGTCGTCGCGCAGGTCTCTCCGCCGAATAAACCTTCTGACTCTTTTATAGTGGTCCATCTGCACGGTTCTGGCGGTCGTGTCCGTGCTTCTTCGGTCGGACCCCGGCTATGTCCATTACTGCACCGCCTATGTCTCGCATCCTCGTACCGCCGTATTTTCCCTCTGCTTCATGTCTCTTCTTGAAATCTTCACTCTCATATATTTCGTCTGTTAGTTCATTCTACACTTTTTTCTAGGGGAGCTAATTGAAAAAAAAAAACTCTGGAAAGTTTCATTTTTTCGTTTCGTTCGATCATAATAAAAGGGTTTCATAAGATGAAAAGTGGACACAATGTTGACAGATTTTCCTGAATTTCTCATTTGTTCTGAAGTTTCAGTACTCCTTCATTCAAATCAGAGGCGACAAGTCAATGAATTCGTGAACAAGGCGATGCATACACTCACTGAAAGGTATCAGCTTCAGGTCTGTCCTTTTTGCTTACTTTCAGAAGTTTCTTTTTTTTTTGAGGAAAATGTGAAGATCATGCGGATACTCATACCTTCGATAACCGTTCACGCAGTTCTCGGAGTTTTTGGCCTTGGCTCTATGCTCGTTTTCGCCGTCGCCCACAGGTTTCACACAGAATTCTATATTTAATTTTTTTGGGGAAAAAAAGCAAACATTTTATGAACTGTTGGGCACCGAATTTGCGAAAAAACTTTATATACTTTTTTTATAAAAATAAAAAAAGGTCGAAGAATATTAACGGAAAAAAACTTGTATCAAATGGAACAAAAAGAGAATTTATCCAGAGGAGTCTGAATTCATTTTAAACAAAAAATGATTTCCGAAACGCCATTATTTTTTTCGATTTAGATGACTTCGCTTTCAAAACACATATTTTTGTTCGTTTAAAACACTTCAGTTCTTAAGTTTTCATGTTAATGGTACCAGTCATATTGTTAAAAATGAACAAAAAACCTTCGCTTCCAAATAATTGCTGTTTTTGAGGTCGGTGGAAGAACGGCTGATTGTAAGGTTCGCGCCTTTCTCCGAAGTCGTCCTTCTGGTCATTCCCGTCTATGCCGTCGTTTTCCCCTTCGTGGCTGTTGTCCGCAACAAACAACTGCGACAGGCCACGAGGTCCTTTCCGAGAGGAAACTGTACAATTTTTGGGAAATAATTTTAGAAAAGCTCTTCCATTTCTTTTCAACCCGCAGAACGACGCTCAACAGCCTATGATCATCAGACCTCCGGTTTTTGTTTTTTTTTTCTGATCTCTATGAATTTTGAGAAGAAATTTTCATCGCATTTCATCTGCATGTTTTGTTTTTTTTTCAAGCAGAGGTTAGAAAGTCTTTTTTTGGAAAGAACTGTTTTCAATTCTTTTTGCTCTACGTTTATTTGATTTCGAGACATTTCTAGATATAGAAGGGATGTTCTTTTCTCGATTTTTTTGGCGGCTAGAATTTTTGTCATAGACCTCTGCTCAAAATTTTAAGTTTATTTTTGGGATCTGCTGAAACAAGGTGATCCTAGTATCAGCCCAAAGTTCCAAGTGTGAGATCAGATCTTGCTCCAGTTAGAAAAATGTTTAAGGCTTGCTATTCATCAAATCAGCACCTTTTATATGAACTTTCTCTTGGAATTCCAAGTTTACCGCGATTTCAGGACCACAGCGTGATTGTGAGCCGGCCTAGCAAGCAGATGGAACGCGACTCAGACACTCACTTCGATTTGCTCAACGAAATGTGGAAAAAGTGACCTTCTTGACCTTCTCGCACACGGGTATTGAAATAAATAAATTCGGATTGTACAATTTATTCACAAAAAACGCATTTTCCGGCGACGTCGCGTTTGAATCCTTTATGAGCTGGGCACTGACATCTCGCTGGTTGGCAGACTCGTGGACACGGCTCAAAATATATCATTTTTATCAAATTAAAAGCGATACGATTGAACGTCTCAACGGAAAAAACCTACAAAACCCCCTTTGTTCGTATAAAATAATCACGAACCTGAGGGGACTGGCCGCATTTTTGTTCACATGATGAACACTCCATCCAGACCTCGTTGACGGCACCTGAACTTCACGTTTACGAGATCGGCGATGGCGAAAAACATTCCGCTTGTTCGACTTTTTCCTCTTCGGGAGCCGTGAAAGTGTCGTCGTAGACCTCTGCCGACGTCACGCTCAGCACCACCGTCAAGAACAAAATCTGAGGATAATTTTGTTCGACGTGTGCTATTAGAAGGAAAAAATGGCCAGCAGAATGGCTCCTCACTGCCTGTTTTTTTTTGCTGTCATTGAATCTCTTTCAAAAATTCATTGGTTTTTTTATTGAAAGGAAAATGCAAACTCGCCCTAAGCAATGTCGCCATTTTGAGATATAACTAGCTGTTCTGGTTCTGAAGGAATGTGAGTCTGAAACACCAATCTCACAAAGAGGTTCGAAATATTCTTCCTTTCGGTAGTGGCACCAATTATTCATGGTCCACTAGCAAAACGCGAGAGGCACTCTTTAATGACAAAAAAAAGGCCGAGGTCCAAATTACCGCCGAAAAACGCTGTGTGAGCTGAATTTATTCATGAATTGAGGCCATGAATCTCTACAACGTGTAACATCTACCCTGATCTTGTTGCAAAGAAAGGTATCTATCTACTGGGGATCTGAAATAGTCTGAGTGGAAACGTTTTTTTGGTGCGTTTCGCGCTAGACGGTCACGTTTTGAAAGAAAAGAAGAAAAAGACTTGAAGCGAAGATGCCAATGTAGAACTAATTTGGTATACGGTATTTTTAGCGAAAAGAAAAAAGTGACAAATTGGCGCGGAAAGAACTATAATTTAGTCTCTTCTAAAGCTACGCTGAGCAAAAGTAAGATCAAACAAATTTTTGAGCTCGCGAAAAGTTTATTTTTGAAATTTTGAAGAAAAAAACCAGAAGTGAAGAGAAAATGTTTCTATGGTTTTTGATAATATTAATAAAAAACGCTTCCCGGGGTATGAATAGAGGAAAAGCGCAAAATTGAGAAAGACTTGGAGGAAGTCGGTCAAAAAATGGAGGTCATTCATGTCCTTTTATAGTGTGGTCCCGTGGTGTTCCGCGTCGATCGCTGCTGATAACCCACCTTCGCCGTCGCCAACCTTGTTTCAAACCTCGCTTTATTTTTTGGCTCTCCAACGGTCCGAGCGACGGAACGGCGGCTGACCTTCGAAAACATCGATTTCCTTTTTTCTCGTCAACAATAATCACAAAAAAATCGTGAGTTCTTTGCAATCGTTCGTTTTGAGTACGACTTTTCTCTTTTGATTTGGGTTGCCAAAGATGAAATGATTTCGCTGATAGAGAAACTTATTCGAATCTCAGAGTCCTGAATACTTCGAGTTATCCAATGTTTGCTTTCCGATGTATTTATTGAATTTGAAAGTTATTTGAATATTAAATCAAGCAAAATCTTCAATATTGGAAGTGAGGTTTTTTGTGCGGATTGAAAAAAAACAAAGTTCTGTATAGCTGGTTCACGGCTGGCTTGAGCCATCGAAAAAATGGTCTTGACACGATAATGCACGAGATAGCGCCTGGCTCGTGGAGAGCGCAGACAGGACACGCCCTCTTAGCGTCCCAAGCTAGCCGTGAATCAGCTATACACCTTCTCGAGCAGAGAAAGTTTCGATCGGCGAAAGAATGAATGACATTTTTATAGAAAGTTTCAATTTTTTCTGCAGAGTCTCGAAGAAGTGCAAAGTTCTGTTCTTATCATTATCAACAGCCTTCTTGTTTTCGAAGGAATACGCCTGCCAAGTTTCTATGTCAACATTTTCTTTTTTTCTATTCTCCAGGGTCTCTAATTACGAAATAAAATAAAGCTAACCTTTCTACCATTTGAAATCGTTAAAAATCTCATATTTTTTCGAATAAAACATTTATTTCCCCTTGCAGGCATTGAACAGAAAACAGTAACGAACAAAGGCCTCATTTTTGCATGGGCACAATGGGAAAAGTTTTCATTTACGGATTGATGTGAGTTTTGAGCTGTTCTTTTTCCTGCATAATCGAGTTTCTTTGAGAGGCCTTGTTGTTTCATGGGCAGCGCTTTACGTGCGGTACAGCAACGAAGAGAATCGCGACGCCAGAAAGTACAGGTTAGCCACTTTCTCTGGTTTCCATGGATTATCGAGAAATCCAGACTTCCGTCCCCACCAGAGCTCGTTGGGCCTCTGGAGCCGAACCAGTGGCTGGAGTCGCCGCAATACATCTTGAAAGGAAAAATCGATGGTCCGGAATCTATCGAGGTTGACGATGGTACGCTTTTTTTTTTAATTTTCATTTCCATTTCAAAAAAACCTAAAAAAATTAATTGCTTTCTTTCGTATAATTTCCTGTCGAGAAATTCATGAAATTAGTCTCTGAGCATCACGGAAAAGATTTTTAACCTAATGTAAACAAATAAATATTAATCACGATTCAAGAAAAATATGGCGAAAAAAATTATACGTTTTCCAAATTTCGAACATTCTTGCTACAAATCCTTCATTATTATGAAAAAAATTGAATATTTTGAATATTTTTGAACGTGAAAGTCTGAGAGAAAAACAGCTTGAGGTAAGTTTGAATAAGGACAAAGAAAAAGCATTTTGAAAAAGAAATAGCAAAAACAAATATATAAAATTTTAATTTTTTTGTTTAGAATCATGAAAGATGTATAATGGTAACATTGAAATGATGGTAGGAAGGAATTGTGGGTCCACGAATATTCATGAGCGTTAATTGTGCATACACCAATCTTGGAGGCTCGAATTTTTGAAAATTTGAATCTTTGCAAACGATTCTTGGGAATATTCACCTCTTTTCTGATTTTTTATAATTTTTCCAATGTTTTTGTTAACAGAAGTTGATGGAGAATATATACAGGGTTAATGAAAATGTGGTAGGCGTTCTGCAGTGAATCTTTGACTACGTCTATGCGAGAGATAAAAAGTTGGTTGAAAAAACACATACAGTGTTCATTTGTGGTCGAAACACGACATCCTCACAGTAGAACGACAAATGAAAACAAAATGAAGAAAAGAAAAAAAGATGGAGATTCAAAAAAGAGGTGAATATTCCCAAGAATCGTTTTCAAAGATTCAAATTTTCAAAGATTCGAGCCCCCAAGATTGGTGTATGCACAATTAACGCTCACGAATATTCGGGAACCTAAAATTCCTTCCTACTTTCATTGAAATAAGTTCACACGAAAAACATTTTCGCGTTCGAAGCCAAGCATTTGGAGAGCTCCATCTAGAATAAGAAGTATACTTTAGAAGCAATATACGCGTCATTGGTCGACGGACGCGTGGTGAAGATCGTGGACGGAGAAATTGTGGCGGAAGTTCGGTTCTCGAAGGAACGGAAAGGCTGCGGCAAGTTCGACATGGAACCGACATGCGGACGTCCTTTGGGCATCCGGAAACTGGACGGAGACAGATTCGTCGTCGTCGACGCCTACTTGGGCATCTTCTTGGTCGATTTCGCCAAACAGCCGCCGTCTTTCGAGCAGGTCTACAAGTCATCGACGCCTATCCAAGGCCGAGTCCCGCGTTTCTTGAACGATATCGACGTGAGTCCTTCTTTTTCCTGAATAATTGCAAGAAAAGCTGAAAACATTACCACGGGGAGCATTAAAACCTTCTGGCGACCATTATTTATGATAACTGCTGGACCAGTGGGATGTGAGTAGGAGAATCTGAATAAAAATTGAAAGTTTGATTTTTTTTTTTTCGAATCAGTGTAAGAGATTGGTTAGCGCTTTGTCTTTTTTTCGAAATTAAGGAAATTAGGCTCGTTGAGACGGAAATAATTTTCTTTTAGACATCTGACAAAGCATTTTCAACCGTTTGTCGAGCATTTCCAAAGTTCTGAGTATTCTTACCTCGCCAAGGGATCCATCGGCCTCACTTTTTGCTGAACCCAACAGAACAATAAGAATATGAATTCATCTACATCGAATTGATTGCATTTCCAGGTGTTGAACAACGACGAGATCGTGTTCAGCGACAGTTCCTACAAGCACGATCGTCGCCACTTCATGCTCGCCTTGTTAGAACAGAGCAGCAACGGAAGGTCTCCAAAATCTGTTTCATGATTAAACGGCTGTCTAGAATCATACACTACAAGCTGTCGACCAGAAAAGCGACGGTTCTTCTGGAGAATCTTTATTTCCCCAACGGTGTTCAGGTAGAGCGTCTATCAATGAAATGACCTCTTGAAAGTTTATCTTTAGCTTTTCGCCGACAAAAAGTCGCTATTATTTGCCGAATGTGGCATGGCAAGAATCAAAAGACTTTGGCTCGACTCCAAAAAAGTTGAGATTTTCGCGGCCAACCTGCCTGGAATGCCTGACAACATTCGACTCGACAAAGAAGGATTTTTCTGGGTTGGCTTGGCAGGTAAGCTAGGAAGGATAGTTTGCTTTTCTGGTTCAAGTGATCTCATTGTCCTTCTTATTTTTTTAAAGAAAAAAAAGAAAATTTTTGCACTTTGCAATAATTTATTTTGCAGCAGTTCGTCAGTCAAAAGCTTCCTCGCTATTTGACGTCCTCGGCCCGCTTCCTGGGATCCGCCAGTTTCTGATAGATGTTTGTTTCTCTAGGCTAATTTTGATTGAAAAAAGGGGTTGAGATAGTGCCGGCGCGACTCTGGAAGCCGATGCTGAGCATGTTCAAGAAGCCGCACGCCTTGGTCGTCGCTCTCGACCAGAAAGGCGAGGTCGTCCGTTCTTTGCACGACACGACAGGCAAATTCGTCGAAGACGTCTCTCAGGTATCTCCATATTTGAATCCCTCTCCGACGGAATTCAGGCGACCCCGTGGCAAAACTCGCTCTACCTCGGAAGCTTTCACAGCCCTTATATTGCCAAGATCAATCTATGATGGAAAAAGAAGAACATATCTAGTGCGGGTATCAAATATATATAAATGGATTATTATTATAATAAACATCTGATTAGGCAATAAGGATCACAGAAACACAACCACACGATGACTAACAACCCTTGCACTGATGAAAATTGAGAACAAAAAGAAGAAACGAATCGAAAAACAATAGAAAACATTAAAACGTGGTACATGAAAATATGAAACCTTCTAATAGACCAACTTTTTGGGTCCATTCAATAAAAAAATAGAAAAAAACTAGAACTATAACTGATTCTCTCAACAAACTTCGACAGGGATCGAATACTCCTGGTCGATTCCAAGGTAGCAGTCGCTCATCATAACGAGAGACAAAATGAAGCGTCCACTGAAAATCGTCCACTTTCAATAGTTATATAAAGAGGTAGAAACCTTTTCGAAGGCATCTTGACCTCGATTCGGGCGCACTGAGATCCTCTGACAGGCGGAACGTACGAGAAGGACAGAAGTTGGTCCGTGTCCAAATCCGCAGCCAAGATCATCCAGCCGGCCGCTTTCTCTTTGGGCCACAAGGGCAGGAAGGCTTCCGCCGCGAACTCAAAGAAAATTTCATTTTTTTTCGTCTTCCAGAAGCATTCAAATTAAAGTTATTGAAAAAAATTTCATATAAAAATGACAGAGTGTCCCTCCAAGGGTTATTGCCAGTGTTACTTTTCTTTGAAACTTTTTTTATTTTTTTATTTTTTTCAAATGAAAACGTGAAAAAAATTTCATAGTAGAAATTACGATGAAATTCTTCGGAAAAAAATTATTTTGGATCCTCCTTAAAGTTTCTATGCGTCCAAATCTGTTCAATTTATTACTACTAGCAAAAAATGCGTGTATCAATTAAAGGGTGAAAACGGAAAAAGGTTTTCACCTTGTCAGATCCAGCGACATGAAGATCGAGCTTCAGCCGGAAGAGAGCTCCCGCGGACACTTTGATCCATTTTCGCTGCGTTTTGGCACCGACGGAGCCGAAGTCGGAGACGTCGATCTCCTCGTTCTTGGCGACAAGTCGAAGATGTCGAGGGGTTACTGTAGGGTACCGCTTTACTGCATTCATCACCTTAAAATATCACATGAAATGTTTTTATTTGTTTAGAAAATTATTTGAAAAAACTTGTTTGTTGAATGATTAATCATCCTCTCTTTTTAATCGAAAAACGCATTGAAAAAAATAGATATTTTTGAAGTTAAAAACCCCCAAAGATTCAAAAACCTGTTCCCATTTCAAATAAATTCTTCACCCGTAAAAAAATGCTTTTTAGATGATGAAATAAACCGGAAGTTATTTCAGAAGTTTAGAAATTGCTTCCTGTTAAAAAAAGAAAAAAATATAAAAAAATACCTCATTGATTTGCTTTTCGTCGAGAGTCGTTTTCGCGACGAACTTCTGCTTGAATTTTTTCTCTTTGCTCGAATCAGACTTCTCTTCGAAAAGGCTGAGCCCCATTTGAAGCAACGGAACCGTAAGATCCGGGCTGTAAAATTCTCTTTTAGTCTTAAAGTCTACCTCTTTCTATCAACCCCAGGCGATTTGCGTCCGATTCGTCCAAATGTGGCAGAACTGTCAGTGGATGGTCGTCATACCATCTTAAGAAACCAGAGTTTCATTTTACAAGACTATGAAGTAGTCACTCAATATTATGGGCTATATCGCAGCGAGAGTATTGCTATATCGCGCGCCTCTCCTTGCGACCTCGCGAAAATCTTGCACTATAACGCTCCCTGAGAAAATTCCTTCAAATGTTTTTTTAATTTCAAATTTTTGAGAGGGAGCGATATGGCAGCGAGACTTTGACGAAATCGAAGCTTTGGCTATGTCGCCTGCAGATCGCTGCGATACAGGCAACTATGTTGCGTGGCAAAAGCATTTCCTTTTTTTTTTCATTTCCGACTCCGTTTCGATTTTTTTCCAGCTGAGTTCTTAGTCTTCGTTCCATACGTGGGCGGCGGTTAAATTTAATAGTGACGTCATGTCGCACCCTCCCCAACTGGCAGCGCACCATACCCAATTTTCGTCGCACCATACCAAAAAGCGTTTTTTTGACGTCACATGACGTCATTTTTCGCTCACTGTCGCAAAGCAATCGTCCATATTGTGCATTTTTCGTTTTTTTCCACTATATAATATTTTTTTAAATGGGATCATAGATTTTAACTTTTTTTGCATTTTAAGAGGACTAATATCAAAAAAAAAAACAATTCAGACGACTTTTTTTAGGTTTCAATCTTGATTCATCTTTTTTCTCAATTGGTTTGGCCCTTTTTTGGAGCTCTCAGACAACGAACCGGTGAGCACCGGTATGGACCGGTAAAAAAACTGAAAAATTGGGAAAAATGCGAATGTTTTTGATCCAGTTTTTCTGATAAATGAGTGAGGTCATTGTTTTTAAGGCTAAAAAGTCAGTTTGGAACTTGATTTGACCATTTTGAGCCGAGTTATAGCCCCGGGCGCACCCTACCCAGTCCAACTGGCGCACCATGCCAAACCATCAAAAAAAGTTAACTTTTTTTCCACTTTTTTTATTCATGAAAAAAATCATTTTTCTAGACGATTTGAATGCCTAGAAGCCTTTTTTTGAGCAAATTTTATCATTAACCGGTGAGCACCGGTACGGACCGGTAAAAAAACTGGAAAATTGGGAAAAATGCGACTTTTTGATCCAGTTTTTCTGATAAATGAGTGAGGTCATTGTTTTTAAGGCTAAAAGTCAGTTTGGAACTTGATTTGACCATTTTGAGCCGAGTTATAGCCCCGGGCGCACCCTACCCAGTCCAACTGGCGCACCATGCCAAACCATCAAAAAGTTAACTTTTTCCACTTTTTATTCATGAAAAATCATTTTTCTAGACGATTTGAATGCCTAGAAGCCTTTTTTGAGCAAATTTTATCATTAACCGGTGAGCACCGGTACGGACCGGTAAAAACTGAAAATTGGGAAAATGCGGACTTTTTGATCCAGTTTTCTGATAAATGAGTGAGGTCATTGTTTTTAAAGGCTAAAAAGTCAGTTTGGAACTTGATTTGACCATTTTGAGCCGAGTTATAGCCCCAGGGCGCACCCTACCCTGTCTAACTGGCGCACCATGCCAAACCATCAAAAAGTTAACTTTTTTTCCACTTTTTTTATTCATGAAAAAAATCATTTTCTAGACGATTTGAATGCCTAGAAGCCTTTTTTTGAGCAAATTTTATCATTAACCGGTGAGCACCGGTATGGACCGGTAAAAAAACTGAAAAATTGGGAAAAATGCGGACTTTTTGATCCAGTTTTCTGATAAATGAGTGAGGTCATTGTTTTAAGGCTAAAAAGTCAGTTTGGAACTTGATTTGACCATTTTTGAGCCGAGTTATAGCCCCAGGGCGCACCCTACCCAGTCCAACTGGCGCACCATGCCAAACCATCAAAAAAAGTTAACTTTTTCCACTTTTTTTATTGATGAAAAAAATCATTTTTCTAGACGATTTGAATGCCTAGAAGCCTTTTTTGAGCAAATTTTATCATTAACCGGTGAGCACCGGTATGGACCGGTAAAAACTGAAAATTGGGAAAATGCGGACTTTTTGATCCAGTTTTCTGATAAATGAGTGAGGTCATTGTTTTAAGGCTAAAAGTCAGTTTGGAACTTGATTTGACCATTTTGAGCCGAGTTATAGCCCCGGGCGCACCCTACCCAGTCCCACTGGCGCACCATGCCAAACCATCAAAAAGTTAACTTTTTCCACTTTTTATTGATGAAAAATCATTTTCTAGACGATTTGAATGCCTAGAAGCCTTTTTTGAGCAAATTTTATCATTAACCGGTGAGCACCGGTATGGACCGGTAAAAACTGAAAATTGGGAAAATGCGGACTTTTTGATCCAGTTTTCTGATAAATGAGTGAGGTCATTGTTTTAAGGCTAAAAGTCAGTTTGGAACTTGATTTGACCATTTTGAGCCGAGTTATAGCCCCGGGCGCACCCTACCCAGTCCAACTGGCGCACCATGCCAAACCATCAAAAAGTTAACTTTTTTTCCACTTTTTTTATTGATGAAAAAAATCATTTTCTAGACGATTTGAATGCCTAGAAGCCTTTTTTTGAGCAAATTTTTATCATTAACCGGTGAGCACCGGTATGGACCGGTAAAAACTGAAAATTGGGAAAATGCGGACTTTTTGATCCAGTTCTCTGATAAATGAGTGAGGTCATTGTTTTAAGGCTAAAAAGTCAGTTTGGAACTTGATTTGACCATTTTGAGCCGAGTTATAGCCCCGGGCGCACCCTACCCAGTCCAACTGGCGCACCATGCCAAACCATCAAAAAGTTAACTTTTTTTCCACTTTTTTTATTGATGAAAAAAATCATTTTCTAGACGATTTGAATGCCTAGAAGCCTTTTTTTGAGCAAATTTTATCATTAACCGGTGAGAACCGGTATGGACCGGTAAAAACTGAAAAATTGGGAAAAATGCGGACTTTTTTTGATCCAGTTTTCTGATAAATGAGTGAGGTCATTGTTTTTAAGGCTAAAAAGTCAGTTTGGAACTTGATTTGACCATTTTGAGCCGAGTTATAGCCCCCGGGCGCACCCTACCCAGTCCAACTGGCGCACCATGCCAAACCATCAAAAAGTTAACTTTTTTTCCACTTTTTTTATTCATGAAAAAAATCATTTTTCTAGACGATTTGAATGCCTAGAAGCCTTTTTTTGAGCAAATTTTATCATTAACCGGTGAGCACCGGTATGGACCGGTAAAAAAACTGAAAAATTGGGAAAAATGCGGACTTTTTGATCCAGTTTTCTGATAAATGAGTGAGGTCATTGTTTTAAGGCTAAAAGTCAGTTTGGAACTTGATTTGACCATTTTGAGCCGAGTTATAGCCCCCGGGCGCACCCTACCCAGTCCAACTGGCGCACCATGCCAAACCATCAAAAAAAGTTAACTTTTTTTCCACTTTTTTTATTGATGAAAAAAATCATTTTTCTAGACGATTTGAATGCCTAGAAGCCTTTTTTTGAGCAAATTTTATCATTAACCGGTGAGCACCGGTATGGACCGGTAAAAAAACTGAAAAATTGGGAAAAATGCGGACTTTTTGATCCAGTTTCTCTGATAAATGAGTGAGGTCATTGTTTTAAGGCTAAAAAGTCAGTTTGGAACTTGATTTGACCATTTTGAGCCGAGTTATAGCCCCGGGCGCACCCTACCCAGTCCCACTGGCGCACCATGCCAAACCATCAAAAAGTTAACTTTTTTTCCACTTTTTTTATTGATGAAAAATCATTTTCTAGACGATTTGAATGCCTAGAAGCCTTTTTTGAGCAAATTTTATCATTAACCGGTGAGCACCGGTATGGACCGGTAAAAACTGAAAATTGGGAAAATGCGGACTTTTTGATCCAGTTTTCTGATAAATGAGTGAGGTCATTGTTTTAAGGCTAAAAGTCAGTTTGGAACTTGATTTGACCATTTTGAGCCGAGTTATAGCCCCGGGCGCACCCTACCCAGTCCCACTGGCGCACCATGCCAAACCAACGAAGTCAATAAAACAACCTTTACATCTACTTACTAAAAGAGAAACTGGTCAAGAATCATGTTTTCTTAACAAAACTGTTCAAGTTAGAGGCTGTTATTTTTTTTGGAATTTCTCAGTAAGAGACTATAAAAGAAAGTAGACGTCAAAACTTGATGGACGTTAGTGTTTTAAAATTTGACCGTCGATCAATAAGACCGTTCGAATGATTTCACTGTTCAGTTTTCGAACGGTTATAACATGTCATTTTTCTGACCGTTCGTTTGACCGACCAGTTTCTGAAATCTACTAAACCGACCATTTTAAGAGTGACATTTAGAACAGTCAAAAACCAAAATGTCACTCTTAAGTGACATGTTGAAATGTTGAAACTCCAACCGTTCGACCAATGACCATTTATTATGACACGTTGAAAAACTATTGTTCGAACGGTCGGTCGAACGATCAATTTTTTAAACTAGAATAGACATCTCTATAAAAAAATTTCGGTTTTGAAAATAATTTTCTTAAGGAAAAAGAAAAATTATTTTCAGAGTTTGAAGTTATTTTTGGCAGACCTAATTTTTCATTGAATTTTTGATGAATCATGTCTCCGAGTGTACCAGTAATTGTAAATGTAAAATTTCAAAACTGGAGATGGAATTTGGTCCTAGATTTTTCGATTTATCGCTTTATTTCTGTTTTCGTCTATGAATTTTCTTTGGTTTCGTTGTGTTTCTGAGGTACGTTTATATTAGGAAATTTAAAAAAATTGTGATTTTCATTATGCTTTTTGTTTTTTTTGCCCCATTTTTGCACTTGTACACTTGGGGATGCTCGGATATGATCTCGATTTGAAACAATTTTCCATATTTCCCGAATAGTAGTAGACCAGAGCACAACGAAGACTAATATGAGTCATGAAAAGCAGTATGACAAAAAGCAGGTGCGAGGGGCGGCCCGTCAACCTCTTGGCCTTCCGGTCACTTCCCAAGCCCGGCCCGGCCCGGCCTTAGAAGGGCCTCAAGCAAAAAAATGGCCGGCCCGGCCCAAAAAAAGCTCAAATTTTTTTCATTTTTCAACTTTTCGCTTTTTTTAACGAGAAAAGTGGGATTTTTTTACTTATTTATCCTCATAGAGTTATAAGAAACTATGATTTAACAAGTAAAAATTATTTTTTTCGGCGAAATTTCAAAAAAATGAAATTCAAGATTTTTCCAAAGTCCGGCCTGACCCGAGCCCGCGTAGGCTTTTTAAAAAAAATTGAAGCCCAAAGCCCGGGCAGGCCGGCCGGCCTGCCGCACAAGCCTGGACAAAAGTGACAAATTTTTGCGCGAAACGTCTACGCTTTGAAACAAAAAGGTGAGTTGAAGAAAATAGTTGAAAATTTCATCTAAATGCTAGTAACTTCTCAGGAAAACAATGCGAAACATTTTTTAGGCTGTTTTATTGAAAAAAGGAGTATATTTTAATATTGTAATATCAGTTTTTTGTTTTGCCAACAACTTCAGAGTGTCAGATTAATAGGCG